TAGTTGACACTATTAAACTTTAGTGGACTTTTCTTGACTGTACTCTACTTCACTTTACTCTAGTCGATTTTGCTCTATTATAGTTGAGTCTGGTCGATTATAGTAGACTAGGCTTGATTTTTGAGTCGACGTTCCTCGATCTACTGAATTATAGTCAACAAAACTACACTTTAGGCGAATGAAGTTGACTATACTCACCTATACTGCACAACAGTCGACTATTCTCTACTGTGATTGACTCTACTCGATTATAGTTGACTCTAAAGCTAATAGTTAATCATATTATAATTTACCACTTAATTCTTTTAAATTTCTTGTTAATAAATATCATGAGAATTCTTTCACGTAGTAAAAAAATTTAACAAAATTACAAGAAATTCAATTATAATTTCAAATGTAAGCAATTTTTTTGTAAGTATGAGAAGCAACAAGTAAAAATATTTATAAAAACAGCAAAAAAGTCACTGAACTTATAAATAATTTAAAGTATTAAAGAAATTCTTTACATGGAATTTCAAGAACTTTAAACAAAACTTTTAATAATTTCGAAAGTAAAAATTCTAAATAATTGAATTAAACACGCACAACATTTAAAATATGTATGTTGCATTGCATGTTTTTAATAAATTTATTAAAATTTCAAATTTGTTTAAAATAAACTGTGAGATTTTTAGGTTTTTTTTAAGAAAATTATACATTATATTATACAGATTAAAATTATAGTTAATGCTTAAAGCTCATGTTTACATTTAGACAATTATTTATTTGAGATTTTCTATGTAGTTATTTCTACTTAATAACTTGTTTAATGTTTATAATGGAAAATGTTTAAGAAAATAATTAAATATAATTTATTTGAGTAGCTGTACCTATGCCTCTAAAATGCATCATATAAATACACAATTAAATTGCTTTAATCATTTATTTTTACAATAAATTAAATTATTAACCTTTGCTTAAGTATTTATATTTTAAAAAATTTTCCAAAATCGTTAAAGGCAAATTTAAAATATATATTAACAACAAACACCTAGACAGGTTTTAGAGTCGTGTGAAAGAAATAAATTCAAAACAATACTTTTTGGTATTATTAATACAGATTTGCAACTTGTGTTGACGATGAGTCAGTCTCATTATAGGAAATTATTTAATATTTAATTTTATTCAAGTTTGTTGTTTTTTTTTTAAATAAATAAATTTTATTGATAATTTTGAAAGCACCATATTGCATTAGAAATGTTAATATTATGCGTTGAATTGCTAACCGGAAGCCATGAATAGAATTTTTTTTGAAGATTTATTTCGAATGTAGTGCAAGAACTTGTATAAAGATAGATGATATTAAAATATTAAATATGATCTTGCTGATCTTTTATAGTTTTAATTATGTCTATAGGTTATTAACCACAGAATATGTATATTTTCAGATTAAGAAGTTTGATAATGATTTTTTTGTTTTATTATTTCTGAAAAGAAAGTAAGATTCTCTATAATTAAGACAATTTTATCTGAATCTATTTTTATACTAAAAAATTTTGCAGATGTCGCCTTAGACTTCAAGATTCTTAAAAGTAGGATTCATTTTAGTGTGGATTCAAACCGTAGTATGGATCAGAGATACAAGCCGAGACGGCTCAAATCGGCGGCGGCTGGTCGCCGGTAATATTTGGCAAGCCGCGCCGCCGCCGACTTCTTTCGGCTCAAAAGCAAAGTCGGCTTAAACGTAGCCGCTGATAAAAATTTGAATCGCACATGTATTTCAGAAAATAATTTCACCAATTTGAACGGAGTTGCCACTACTTTAAATTCTTATGGCAAATTGAAAAGTGTTGCCACACAATATTGTGCTAATATTAAAAGAGTGAAAACTACTATAAATGTTCATTTTCTGCAGAAAAAACTTATATAGAGACAGGTTTCTATATAACAGACAGAGATACAGAGATTTTTCAATATAATAAACGCTTATAAGGTCAATTTCTGAAGAAAAAGTTAAATTGAGCCGACAATTTAGTCGCCGCCGATATTTTCTATAATAAGCTGCCGTCGCCGATCTAGGATTGTTGCGCCGCCGCCGCCTATCATTTTGCATAGGCTTTTATCTCTGGTATAGATCTGAACGATTTATACTTTTACGCCATCTACATTTATTTCAAAATGTGGATTATTTGTAATGCAATTCATAAATCATTCGTGACCGAATAGAGAGAGATATTAATTCGATCACGAAGTTTTTGCACATTTTGCAAAAATTTGTTAACGACTAGAAAATCAGATTTGTTTGTAGATTTGTTAAAAATTTCGAAAGAAAGTGATAATTCTAAAAAAAACATCAAGTTTTGGGGGGTAATAAAAGTGGAACTGTTTTAACTTTTTATTTTTAAAACAAGTGAGAGTCTTATATTCGGCTGTGCCGAATCTCATATACCCACCATCAAACCGTATGCCGTACAAAAAGCTTAAGTCAACTTGAAATTAACAAAATATTTATTTTTAAAAACAAATTATTTCCTGAAGGGAACCTTATATAGCGGCTAAATTCGGAATGATTAATTATATTTCTATACATAAACTTTTTTATCTCGAATTTCATCGCTGTACTCGTAATTTATTGAATCCTACTCTTCAAATTAACTTATATAAAGTCTAGGATCAATTGTTGACCGATCCTCAAACCATTTTGTAGACTAATTTCGGTTTATATTAAATTTATTTACATCGAATATCATCGCTTTTTTATTCCAGTAATTAGCGTTAAAGAAATTTTCTGAAGGTGACCTTATATGGATCAACCCACATACAATTTGGTAGAGAGATTTTGGTTCCCAAGAAACTTACTTGTGTCGAATTTCATCGCTATACTCGTATTTTTAAGCCAGTAATGAGAGTAGGGTCAATCAAATGCCGATTCTCATAAAAGTCAGTAGAAAGAAAGGTTTTGGCTCGTATGAAACTTATTTATGTCGAATTTCATAGCTATACTCGTACTTTTAAGCCATTAATGAGCATTAAAGTAATTTTCTGAAGGGATCCTTATTTGGGGGGTAGGGTCAATTATGGACACATCCTCATGAAATTTGGTACGAAGATTTTGGCTCATATGAAACTTATTTATGTCGAATTTAATCGGTATAATCGTATTTTTAAAACATTTATACCCGTTAAAACTGTTTTTCGGGGATTAACTTGTATGGGGGCTATCTGAAAACGTTTACCCATTTTCAATACTAAACAAACCTTATCAATAGAGAATATTTATGCAAATTTTCAACTGCCTATAGTGATTTCAACAGACAGACGGACGGACATGGCTAGATCTGCTTAGAAGTCGATCGTCTAAAAGTAAATATGTGATATTTTGCTCTGATATCAACACCTTTTATGCAAAAAGTGCTAACTCAACCTGGGGCCAAAATGAGTTTTTGCTTGCAAATGATTCCCTAGCGTTCCTTTAGCACTTTTTGAATATAGAGTCTCGATATTCAGTGCAACTCAATCCTTTAGAAAATTAAATTTTTTCAATTTGCATAAAATTAGGCAGGCAGGGACACCTATTAGTTAAAATTGTATTGCGCATATACTTATGTAGGTTCTCGAGATTTAAAAGAAGAACTATTTAATAATTTGCAAAAATGTCGCCAATGATGTCTAATTGAAGCCTATTTTAATTAGGTATAATGTCGTATCGAAAATCTGAAACCGTGCAAACGGAAATGTGTAAATTACACACATTTTTTAAAAAGTATAAATTTAGTTTGACTTGAATTCAAGTTATCCAGATATGCTTTAAATCTTAATTTACACTGAAAATTATCCCTGCCTAATTATGAAAATAATTTGTAAATTATGTTATAATTTTTCTTAAAAGTATTGTCGTTTGTCATTAATAAAAGGGTTTAATTAAATAATATTTCGTATTATGCACGAAATTTTCATAAATATTACAAAAAAAGTAGTTACTTTATTATCATTGTAGAATTTTTCTTGATGATAATTACAAGTTTAAAATATGAGCACATTTATACCAGTATTTACTATCACGGACGGAAATTTTATTTTCAAATTTTGTATGAAAAGCACTCAAAAAATATTTAAAAATTGAGTCATTTTCATACAAATTTTGTAAATAAAATTTCCGTCCGAGATACTGAATACGGGGGTTAATAAAAGTCTTTTGTAGGTAATATGTTTCTAAAATGGGGCTTTGAATTAACATTCGAATCTGAATATATAGTAACGAAAATTCTCCACTTGGAAATACAAATTAAATTTAAATTTTATTTGCTTTCTTTTTAATGCAAAAAGTTAAATTTTCGTTGAAATTATGTATAGCCCTACAATTCAAAGTACTAAAAATTATCTTTTAAAAAGAGGTACAGTTTTCTTACTTTAAGTATTTTCCAATTAAACTAGGATTTTTAGCTTGCAACAAAAATATCATAAATATTCTTAGAATAACAAATAACAAGCCTTGTAATAATACAACTACCTGTTTAATCCTTGAGACATTTTACAACTATTTTTGCATATGTTTGAAATAAAGTCCTTTTCCGCGAATATTTTTGATGACATTAAATCTTATTACCTGATTAAAGGACCGCCAGCTGACATCAAAATTATAAACTACTAACTACAGGTAGCATTTTCTAATGCGAGGATATTTAGTATAAAATGTCTAGGTCGAGCAACGAAAGGACACAGTCTAGTCTTACGCTTCGTTACGAACGTACTAACTAAACAAACCTAAAACAACTCGACAGTTTAACTGTTTCAATTTGTACAACAAATTTAAAACTTTAATTTCTTTAAAAACTTTGCAAAAATGGTGAACATTAATGTTAATTTCCAACAACTTGAAAAAGATATTGAAAATTTCTCTTCAGTTGATGAACGTAAGTTTTTTTTGGGAAAAGTGTGAATAATTTTTATATTGTTTTTTAGCTTCTTAATAAGTGATCTTATACTAATTTTTGGTTTTATATTTTTTTGATTTTTTCTAGATCTTCAATTGGCTGCTGAATTGGGTAAAACTTTACTGGAACGCAACAAAGAATTGGAAACTCTTTTAAAAGAGCACAAACATACTATTGAGGAACAAGAACAGGAAATTGTGGTAAGTGTATTAATTAAACAAACCTAGTTTTTGCTGCAATGATCGTTGATTAGAGATCACTTTTTGGCAATTTGTTAGTATTTTTACATTAAATTGTGGCACAGTTTGTAGCATTAACTGACATTTTCTTTGGTTTTATTTAGTTTAGTAAAGAAAAGGCGCCAAGATCAATTAATGAACGTTAGAGTTCAATGCTTTTGTAGATCACTATTACAAAACCTTATAAATACGTAAAAGTATTTGGTTTTTCTTTTTTTTGTTTCAACAACTTTCCAACATTTGCCATAGTGTTGTTATGGTTATAGCTGATTGGTTTTCACAGCAAACCTATGCAGAACACCCAAATTCCGTAATCTCAGAAATACGATCTTGTTGCTGCAACACTTTAACACTATTGCAATCAAGCATAAAATATTTAACCCCTTAAATGTAAAAACAAACAAATGTTTTTTTTTTTTTTAAAAGAGACAAAAAATGGGTCAGTTAAATAGATTTCCTGAAATGAATTTTATTTCTTTGCATTTTATTCTAAATTTATCTGTTGGCATTTAATTAGCTGTGACCCCTGCTAAATAAAATCTAAATAAAAGTGTGTGTGTATGAGTGTAGACAACTGCAATTTCTTATCTCGTGATCAATCATGCATAAACTATTTCAACATTTTTACACTAAAACTAATTAATTTCTTTGTTTTCTTTATTTTTTTTTTGTTTAAATACAATTTAAAAATAGTATTTGAAAAAGCATACTACGGCGTTGCGGGAAGTAAACGATTCTCGTTTAAAGGTCTATGAACAATTGGAAGTCGGTATACAAGATTTGGAGCGTGCCAATCATCGTTTGCTCGTTGAAAATACCGCCGATAAAAAGCATATAAAAACGTGAGTATAATTTTTATTTTCCCCTCTAAATAGTTTTTAAATAATTTGTTTGAAATTTAAATTTTATAGGCTTGGTCACAATATCGAGACTTTGGAGTCACGCTGTGAAGAACTGACTAAACAATTGGAAGAATGTCGCCAATCTTTAACCTTTGAGAGACGCAAAAATGAACGTCTCTTGGCGGAGAAGAATAAGGCGGGCTCTGATGCCAATGGCGTTAAATTGAAACCCACTTTGAATAAAGATAATGCCGAATCACCTTCAGATACTGTGCAAACCGGTTATGATGCCAACACTACCGCCCCCGAAAATTGTAGTTTTGCTTTTGCCTCTCCTGCTTCTAGAAATAATGCCAATTCAACGGGTATTAGTGGTATAGAAGGTGATAGTTCGTTTGATTTGAGCATGGTTTGTGGTCAGGAGGGTAATGATGAAATTATTAAATTGGTTAGTGATTTGGAGACCACCAAAAGAGCATTTATGGCCGAGCAGCAAAGATGTGGTGAATTGGAAGAACAATTGGTGGCGATAAGTAAGTATTTTCTTTTTTACAAATTTTAACAACTTTAACATAAAACTTATTAATTGTTTATATATTCCTTGCTTTTCCAATATTAGTTCAAGAAAATCAATCTTTACAAAGTCGTATTGCTCAAACTAGTGCCACAGAGGAAATGAAATCCATGCATGATGAATTATCTATATTAGATGAAGTCAGGTATGTTGTAATATATTTACTTAATAATACTAAATAAAAAACTAATTAATTTATCTTTTTGCCCTCTCTTTTCCCTTACAGACAAGGACAAATGTGCAGTCGTTGTTTACGCTCTATGGATGATCGCCTCACTGTTAATGATGAACAATCCTCGTTGGCACCCACCGAGGAATGTGAGGAAGATGAAGAGCGTAGTCTGCTCGACTTAGAAGGCAATCGTGATGATAATGCCAGTGAACATTCACAGGCTGCCTATCGCAGCAGCATGTCCATTAAGGTGAGAAATTGTTTCTATTTTAAAACACTGCTGTTTGGCTTATTACGAGGCTGACTGATAGTTTACTAGAACAATTTATACAATTCAAATAATAATGTTTCATTTCCATAACAAACTGCCATTATTACCAAACTCATTACCAAGCACTCATGTTAAGTTCCTAACTTGTTTTTCTGTTACAAAATGGTGTTTTTTTCCTTTCAATCATTAAATAGCATTTTCATGGCTAAAATCATATCATATTGGTTGTCTAAAACAAAAGCCTTTTGTATGGTGTTTACTGTTAATGTATTTGTGTAAATGTGTGTTTATGTCTAACATAATATAATATGTCTTCTAACTGTTGCTGTTAATTTATCCACACACCGTTTCCGTTTCCACTACTTTAATGTTTCCTTTTTTATCTGCAAAACTACTTAAAAACAATTCCAAAAACCAAAACCAAAAAAAAAACACCATGATTTGTTTTCTCTACCTTTTTTTATTTTCTTATTTTTTCTTATATTTATAATTTTATTAGGCTAAAAAACAAGTAAAGACTACTACTACTACCACAACTACTTGTCCGATTTGTTCAAATGTCAACACAAAGTACCTGCATGAACAAATACCCATATCTCTAGATACGGTTTTATTAGATCTTTGGCAGAAAACCGTTAAACGTTTCAGTCTAATGACATGGGTGGCGAAAATGCTGCAATGGCCGGCCATAGTTATAAGCCGTATGATTAGTTCCATACCAGACGATGAAGATTTTTCATTACTCTTCTGACCTGACACAAAACTAGAAATTTTTAAACAAAAAACAAACGAAAGTGTTTTATATATATATTTTTTTTTGAGTGCATTTCAAACTTCTTTTTTCTTAAATTTAGTTTCTTTTTTGTGTTTTTTGTTGTACTTACCGAGTTTTCTATTTCTAATTTTGTTTGTTATTTGTTTAATTGATTGAATTTTAACTTTAACTTTAAAGTTTTAATATTAACATTCCTGGACAAAGAATGCTTTTATACAGGGTCACAAATCTTAAAGCTGAAACAATACGAAAAAAAGACATATTTTTAAAGACAACGTTTTAAACGTTATTAATTAATATTTTTTTTTTTTTGACATTTTAAATGTGCCAAGACTTTTTTTTATAAAAATTAGACTAATTTTATAGTTTTAACAGTGTGTTTGTGTGGATAATTTATTTTATATAGTTTTTATTGTAAAAAACAAAGTATATTATTTATATTGTCTTAGTTAAGTAAGTAAAATCATGGAAAAACATTAAGACAAACTTTCCCTACAAAAATAACTGTTCATACAAACTTTTGAACTTGCCAATTTCATAGCATCTCCTCATCTTTCCATAATTTTCATTACTAAACTAAACACCTGGTCACTGTCACCCTAACAAAGACTCTAACAAATATCGGCAAATAATATAACATTTGAAAAAAGGCCTTATCTATTATATGGGTATTTAACTTAACTTATCATTCCGTTATTAACTACTCTTATTACAACCCACCGCTCTCTTATAAACAAACTCTACATTAATGAGCTCTCTTTCTTTCATATTTTGTTAAATATTTAATATTATTAACAATTTTTCTTTAAAAATTTCTATTAAATAGAATATTTTAAATCATTAATATCACACATTCATTCATTACCATACTCCCCACCTTTTCCTAAAACCCTCTTCTTAATACCTTTGAAATCCATTCCCCCCGTCTTAATGGTTTTTCTTTAAAAACGTTTTTTTTTGTTTGTTAATATTGTTGTATTTAATTTGTTTAACAAAATGTTGTTAAAAACATAATAATGAGGGTTTTTTGTGTGATATTTAAGTTTTTTTTTATAAGTTTAATAAATTTCTTTGAATTTTGAGTGAATGTGAATTTTAATTTTTTGCTGATTGGAAGGCATGTTATTAAAGTTTGTATTTTTATTATAATTTTGTTTTAAATAATTATTTTTAAACACTCTCTTTTAAACATTACGCTAACTCTTCTTATCTATGAAAGCTCTCTCTCTCTCTCTCATTAAAACAATATACTATCTACCAGTATACAAATACTCCACCACCTACAAAAACTCAATACCAAAATCAACCTTTTCTTTAAGCAAAGTTAGAAAATGAACATTGTTAATTTTAATTAAAAACTATTTTTTACACCTCTCATGCCATTTATGCCGCTCTCTCTCTCTTTATTTGAAAAAAATCGAAAAAAAAATCTATCCATCTCTAAAATTCAAAAACAAATTATGCCCATAATTTCCAGGTTATGCCACAGCATCCCGATTCTTTGGATTTGAATATACCCGGTAGTCCTAATCCCTATCGTGATTTGGTGGAGAAATATGAAGCCTTATTGGAGGTGCAACGCTCATCGATTGCTCGCAAAAATAATCATGTTGTTGCTGCTGGTGGTGGCGGCATGTCTTTGGCCGAAGAATTCCAGTCATCTGGGGAATTTGCTCAAACTCAAAAACTCATGTTCCAGGCGGCCCATAATGAAAATACCGGCAATTGCAATAATTCCAGCAATGGTGATGCGGCCAGCAGCTGCAATGGCAGCATGAATAACGACACCAATAATTCTAATACCAAAAATGATAAAAATCGTGGTCGCACTCCTACGGAATTCTCGGAAGCGGAAACCTCTTCTTCGGGCTTTTCGGATGAGACCAGCAACAAGGGCACCCAAACTGATGAGAGACCCGGCTATTTCCTTTGCTCGATTGGTGATGGTGAAGACTGTAAATTTAGCATTTATGATGATGCCAGCCCCATTGATTCACGCTTCCGCAATCGTCCCGAATACCGCGAACTGTTCAAGGAAATCTTTGCCGTTCTCAAGAAGGCCGCCGAAAATAAAGAAGAGGGCGATAAGCTGCCTTTGCTGGATGATACTCATCCCAATGGTGTTAATGCTCAAAAAGTGCCACCTGTTACTCCTGCCAACGAAGAATTGCCGGTTGATTTCGCCGATGATGCTCAAAGTGTTATCTCTTCGGCCGTATCGGAACAGTCCTTTGCCATGTCGGAGTGCATTACCAAATTAGAACGTAAAACAGCCAAAAAACATATAATTGAAAAGAACCAAGAAAACAAGCCTCCCCTAGCGGCCTCCATTGCTCAATTGACTTCGCCCAGTGGCAAGCAAATCATTGAAAATGGTCGTGTTTTGACTCCTTTGAAACGAGAACCTTTGGACTATTTGGCCGTGGGTGTAGGCATTAAGAAAAAGAATCGTCGCAAGAATCGCAACTTCTCTAGTGATCGCTCTGAGTCTCCCTTGGCTTTACCCACACCACCACGCATTTTTGTGGCCAGTGGCAAGAAACGCAAAGAAGTACGTCCCTATGTAGAGTCACAAATGGCTGCCACTCCCGATCAATACAATACACCCGGATCATCACGGGGTTCTCGCAGTGGCTCCAAATTCGAATGGAATGGTAATTCAATGATCATTTATAATCGTTCGGTCAGAGGTCGCAACTCCTCGGGTGAGGTAGATGTAAGCAACATTCCCTATAGGCCCAGTACTGTATCCCAAGATTTGCACAAACTAAAGAAACTTGACTTGTCGTATGCGGAAGTCTTAAGACGTGCCGATGCCTGCAAACAACATCATCATACTCAATACCAACAACAGCAACAAAGACGAAGGAATCATCGTCACTGAATTAACGAACAAAAATATAAAAAAAAATCCCCCAGTGTAATCAACAAAAAGAACATAAGTAGTCTTCATAAATTTAAGTAGGTGTCTTCGTCTTTACTCCCCAATAAGTGATGACCACCCCCCAACACCCACCCTGATCACTAAAGATGACCCCCACTCTCTCATTTGATTGTTTATAATAATATTAATAAAACTACCAATATTTGTATAATTTAATATTTAGATGTATACTCCCTCCTCCAAAAAGAAAGAACAAAAAAAATCAGCCCCAAACCAAGCAACAAAAAATAAGTAGTAATATTAAGAATTATTCATCTGCCATTGAAGCTGAATCTCTCAGTTGTTTCCTTTTCTCCTTTAAACTTTAAACTCTTTTAACTCCTTTTTTTATAATAATTTAACTTCTCCTGTTTATGTAATTATTTTAATTTTAAATCAATTTTTATTTACAATTTTAAATTGTTTTTTCATTTAGTAAAAAGCGTAGCTACGTTTAAATTTAAATTTAGTTTCTTTTCAAACAAAAAAAATTATATTTTTTAAAAAAATGTCCTTTTACTTTGAAAACTTGAACAAACCAATAACATTTAATTTTAAGTGCATAATTTTTAACAGCAACAACTGTAACGCAAAGAGTTTTATTTTTGATAATTGTGGGCTTAGCGCACAATCCGCATTAATTTTATTAAAATTTCTTTTAAAAAAAGTTAAATTTTTTAATTATATTTTATTTAAAGTTTTTCATTAATTTTTATATAGCTCTTTTTTTTTGTAAATAGTATGAGTTTAAAACCAAATTTCTCTTAAGTCTTAAATCAACGAATTCTGTTTTTTTTTTATATATTTAATAAATCCCTCTACATTTTTAATTTCAAAAAACAAAATTTTAACTAAAATATTAATTAAAAAAAAAAAAACTAAATACTTATATAGTCGACTTGCAAAATATTTAAATAATAATAAAAAAACAAAACAATAACTTTTAATTTAAATTTTAATCAACTTATTATATTTAAAACTTTACTATTTTTTTGGCTGAAACGTATGATAATAGTTAGAGAGTTTTCACAAAATTTTAACTTGTGGAACAGAATTTTTACTTGATTTGAATTAAGATACAATTAAAAATTTAAATGAAAAAAATCTACAAATACACATAATGAACAGTATCAGTATGTACTCAAAATAAAAAAACAAAAAACATTGAATTATTTAAAAAAACTCACTGTATTTTTTATTACAAATATCGACGGTAAGTAGTGAATAAGATTTGTTGAAAAAAAATTATTGGTTTATTTTATTATTACTAAAAACTCTTGATTAATACTTTTAAAATCAACTTTTTTTCAATCAAACAAGTAAGAAAGTATAGTCGGGCGTGGCCGACCATATGATACCCTACACCAGTTATGAATATTAAATGTGATTTATTTTTCATAATAAAGCATTTATCTTCAATATTCCCTTGTTCCGATACATTTAAGCAATTTATGGATGAAAAACTAATTTTCTGAAAGAGGCTTTATATGGGGGCTAGGGGCAAATATGGACCAAGCCCGATAAAATTTTGTGAATATATTTATATTTACATAATATTTTATTGTGCTGAATTTCATCGCGATATTTGTGTTTATAAGTTAATTTGGGACATTCAAGTAATTTTCTGAAGAGGACTTTGTATAGGAGCTAGGGTCAAATGAGGCCCGATCTTTATGAAATTTGGCAAGGTCATCAAGGCTTGTATGTATAAAACTTAGTTGTGCCACCTTTTATCGATATACAGGTATATTTAACATAATTATAAGCTCAGAAGCCCTTTTCAGGGGTTCTTTTGTATGGGGGATAGGTGAAATAATGGACCGATTTTAACCATTTTCAATAGGCTTCGTCCTTCGTCAAATAAAACGTGCGTGCCAAATTTCATCCAGTTATCTTGAAAATTGCGACCTGTACCTTGCGCACAAGGTTTACATAGACAGCCAGCCAGCCAGACGGACGGACGGACATAGCTTAATCGACTCAGAAAACGATTCTAAGCCGATTGGTATACTTTAAGGACGAATATTTTTGTATGTTACAAACATCAGCACAAATCTAATATACCCTCCCCACTAAAGTGGTGTAGGGTATAAAAACCAACATTTAATTGTAGATTTTATATTCAATCTCTTTTTGAGATATTGCTAAAAGCTCAAATTTTAATAAATTATTGCAGTATAACTAAAATGTTAGCGAGGTCAAAGTTCAATACCTAAACTCGACAACACTTCCCTTTACGCAAATGAAATTTCATTCAAATCGGACTAACTATCGTTCTTTTTACTTCTCTATTCCACTGTGTGAGTTTTGTCCAAGCATTTACATATAAATAAATATTCAGGCCAGACATAGGAGACGGAACAAACTACCAATGAATTTACTATTCAGAATAATAGGCGAACTGAATCTGCTAAAAAGTTAATGGTCAAACAATTATTTTATATTTAAATTCAATATTTTGATTTAGCTGCTGTCAAAATTTCATCTTATTTGTATAAAAAAAAAAAGGAAAAACTTCTGATATTGCTCTACATACCCAAAAACTTTTTGAAAATTCAATAATCGTCAGTTTTTTAGAAACTAATAGGCGAACAGAATCTGCTAGAACATAAATGGTCTAATAACTATATTACAATTTTAATGTACGGATATGAAATATTTGCGAAAAATTATATTCATACGAAAGCTTGAAGTGTAAGCTTTGCAATCCTACGAAACTTTTCCAACCTACAGCCACGCCCACTTTCGTAAATAAGCCATTAAATACAAATACGCTTCCAACTTTATCTTTCCCTATCCGCACATGCGTGTAAAGAATACTCCTCAAAGGACTAGAACTAGTCCTTTAAGGACTATTTCTAGGACATCACATTTAAAATTGTGGTGTCCTATGCGAGGACCACGTAATCAATCTATGTATTACATCAGACTAATTTCAAAACTATTCCTTTACTAAAATTATGGGATTACATGATCTACAACATGGTCCTATATAATGCAGGCTATAGACCATGTTATTATCAAAATAAACAATTAGGAAAGTATAGTCGGACATGGCCGACTATATGATACCCTACACCACTGAGTATGTTAAAAATGTGGATTATTTTTAATAATAAAGCATTTAAGTTGTTTACCTTAATTCCGAAATACATATTTTAACAATTTGTTGAAAAAAGTGATTTTCTAAAAGAGGGGTTATATGGGGCAAGGGTAAATATGGGCCTATCCTTATAAATTTTGGTACATGGCTTTACGTTTACATTAGAGTTATTTATGCTGGATTTCATCGTGATACTAGTGTTTATTAGTGAATTATTGACCTTCAAGTCATTTTCTGAATGGGACTTTGTATGGGGGCTAGGGTCAAATAAAGTCCGATAATTATGAAAATCGGTAGTATTATTAAGACGTATATAGAACTAAGTTCTGACGATTTTTGTAAAGATAATACAATATTTAACATAATTATGAACTCAAAAGCCCTTTTCGGGCGGTAGGGTTGCATGGGGACTAGGAGAAATAATGGACCGATTTCAACCATTTTCAATAGGCTTCGTCGTTGGGCCGAAACACATGTATTTCATCAAAATAGCTTGCGACCTGTACCTTGTGCACAAGGTTTACATGGACAGCCAGCCAGCCGGACAAACGGACGGACGGATATGGCTTAATTTTTGCAGGATATGAGAATGATTATGTTGCATAAACGAGACACTTTACGTAGCTCCACAAGAAATAATCGTAAGGTGTCAAATCCCATGATCTTGGAGGCCAATTTACAGGTCTAGGTATATCTCGAAATCAAGTTATCGCCATATTTTGAATTCAATAAAACGATCGCCGTATGGAACGTCAATATCTTTAAACAACAAATCATTGATTATTGTTGCTGAACTTCCTTGACCGTAGCTCGAGCTCAGACTTGATTTATGAAGATATAAGGTGCCATGATGACACGAGCGTATCTAGGACATGCTGTGGATTGGACTCACATTTTATGCATCAATTATTTAAAAATGATTTTAAAATATTTTATGGTATAAATTAATAAAAATACTACTTTTAAATTAAATTTATTAAAAAATGTTTGTAGTAATATGATCTCTTAAATTTAAATTTAACGGTTTTTAGGCTTTTGTCATTTTGTTCTGGCAATACTGTAGACACAAGAATTTTTTTAAATGGCAACTCATAAAATTTTTACCACAGCTGATAGCATTGCCAATAAATAACAATTTTAAATTTGGTAATACTAGTTTATTAGTTATGGCAATAACCTCTCTCAGGGGAAGGTAAGCTAAAGAACATTAAAAAAATAAATTACTAAAAAGACAAGTTATTTTAGAAGAATAATTTTGTGATAATAAAAACCAATTTTCTTAAACAAAAATTTATTTTAATTTCATCTTAAGTTTTGTTGGAGAGAAAATGAATTTATAATTTGAATTAACTAACCTTCTGTAGCGTACCACAACTTACTTGGCATACAGACTTTTTAGTAGAAGTCAGTTTATTTGCAAAATGGCTCTTAAATGTAATTTGTGTTAATGTCAATAAATATAGAAGAACGTACATACAAACCACACACAACCCAAACAACCGCATCACACCTACTAGTAGATGTATTAGGAGGAGTTGGTGGGTTGTTGGGGCAGGTGATATTTTCTTTCAATGGTTACAATATTGTGGTGTTTAAAGTTTTCATAATGTTTGGCTTTGTACTATGTATACTTTCAGGCAAAACATACATACATACAATTTACACTCAGTCACATGTGCATAAATATATATCTGTGTATATGTATATAAACAGCAACAACATTGGCATCCTTTTGCGTAGATACAAATAAAAATAACAACAGCAACGAAAATGCTAATGTATGGTCAGTTAAGAACATGGCAACATAAAATCAGTGTCCATTGTATCTATTCGTTCAGTTGAAACATACTTATACGTAGTACATTATACTGGTAGCATTTTTGAAAAACTATAAACATTTAAGTTCCAACATAAGCTATAAATGGTGAGCTGTACGTTTAGTTGAATTTTATGAATTTCTTGGAATATCTAGTATGAATGCAATAATGATCATAAAATTTTAGATCATTTAGAACTTAAAATAAGAGTCTTACTTTATAAAACTTTTTGATACCACTCTAATAATACCCATTCATATGAGTATTTTCCAATAAAGACCAGAATGGTATTAAAACACAAAACCAGAGAATAGTGTTCAACTATGAGAGTTTGTAAAGAGACATTTACATAGAAAATTAGTTTGTATCTTGTATGGGTATGAACATTTATACAAAATTAGAAATACTTTTTGATCTTAATTTCTATGCAAGTAGTGGACCATTATTATATTAGGGCAGATATTTTTATAATTTTTCGAAAACCTTCGACTTTGTAAAAACTTATTTTCGTTTTTGGCACCATAAAGAAAGAGTTATATTGATTTTGTTCTCCCTTCTGGTCTTAAACCCTTATTTGATTCTAAGTCGGTCTAAACGGAAGGAACATTTTACTGATATATTCTCTATAGATAAGGTTTGTTTTTAAAATGTGTAATATCGAGCTGCGATTACACTCAGCTTAGAAAGCTATAAATATACTGATTGTGCAGTAATATATGTAAATAACTCGGCCATATTGCAAATGAC